AACACGCTGCTCCCTGAGTTTAACCCACCCTGAGGGCATCTCTAGCTGCAGTAATAACACTCCCATCTCACCTAATTCTTTTCACAGTTAAAAGAAGAGGCGTAACTCCTCCGTCAAAAAGAACATCAGAAGAAAAGAAAAAAGAACATTAGAATTCATGAGCAGACACTTGAAGGCGTAAAAACGTGCAAACCAAACCCATCAGCCTTCTGGTCGACTCCCACTCACAGGGACCCTGTGGGGTGGGAGAGCCCCGTGTGACACGTGGCTCCCAACGTTCCAGGCTCTGTGACGACCATAAGCCTCCTCCTCCTTCAAGTGTATGGAGAAAAGAGGACACAACCTGATACACTCCTTTCTTAACTTTATCCTTTTTAAATCTGTATCATCTCTCCATATCTGCTCAATCTGTATGCTGAGCTAATTATTCAAGAAGCTGGACTCTTATGAAGAAGAATATGGCATCAGGATCAGGAGAAGACTCATCAATAACCTGGGTTATTTAGAGAACACGACTTGCTGAAAGTAAAGAGGACTTGAAGAACTTGGAACAGAAGATCAAGGAATGCAGCCTTCAATATGGATTGCACCTCAACATAAAGAAAACATAAATTATTACCACTGGATCTATAGGCAACATCATGATGGCTGGATGGAGAAAAGATTGAAGTTGTCAATGACTTGATCTTGCTTGGATCCACAATGAACACCCTTGGTACCAGCAGTCAGGAAATCAGGAGACGTACTGCACTGGGAAAGTCTGCAGTCAAGGACCTCTCCAAATTATTGAAGAGCAATGAATGATGACAGTTTGAGGACTAAGGTGCACCTGTTTCAGGCCATGGTCTTTCCGATCCTTTGCTATGCGTCTGAGAGCTGGACAATGAATAATGTTGACAGGAGATGTCTCTGGGCTGTATGTAGTGTTAAAGAGTACTGAACATCCATGGATGTCCAAAAGAATAACGAGATATGCCCTGGAGAAAGTGCCCAGGCAGAGTTTCCTTGGAGGCAAAGAAGATAAAGCTTCATCTCACATACTTCGGGCACATTGCTGGGAGAGGTTATTCATCAGAGGACATTATGCTGGGAAAGCTGGAGGTGATGAAACACAAGAAGATCCTTGACCAGGTGGGTTGGCACAGTGACTGTGGCAATGAGCTTGAATGTGTCAGAGATTGTGTGGTTGGCACAGGATAGGCCAGGGTTCAGATTTATTGTTCATAGGGGACAACACAGCCTCAGAACAATAATAAAACAAAAAACCTCCCAAGTTAATTTAGGTAATGCCCCTGACACTTTATAAACACTATGTTGTTAAGTGCCATCGAGTTGTAGACGACTAATAGCGACCCTATGAACAAAAGACTGGACACCTGTATAACTGTCATCCTTTCTCCAGGTTCATAGGGTTTCCAGAGGCAGCTGTTGTGGAAGTGGATGCCACTCCTGCTTCCAAGCTTGTTTTAATCGGGGAGCTCCACCAAATACTGTCCACCACGGGTAACCATTAACACACCTGACACATCAGTGTCACAGTGTTCAGCTTCACAGCAACCAGGAGTTACCTCTATGCAGCAAGTGGACAGACCAGGGTTACACGACCTAGATGAATGTTTCACAAAAAAAAAAAAACCAAACCCACAATTAAAGGCAGGCCTGAGGGCCACAGAGTAGAATCACCTACCTTCGGTGCAGGAGCACGATTTTCTGTCCACTAGGCCAACTGCTCTCTCTGAGAATAGCAATTCTTATCACTAAAACAGTCTTGGTAATGCTAGTCATCCAGGCAGAAGCCTGGGCCTTCAGCCTGGAGGTCACAGCATCAGCCTCAATGTCCACTCTGTCCTCGTGATCTCCACTGGGCTCAAGCCCATCACTGCAGTCCTTGTGCGATCCATCTCGTTGAGGGTCTTCCTCCTCCTCACTGGCCCTTTATTTTTCTCTATGGCGTCCTTCTCCTAGGACTAGCCTGTTCTCATAACCTGCCCAGAGCAGACTGTCTTCTGTATTAAGGGGATGACGATGGTGTCACTGTAACCCGGGCCCTCGTCTCAGGGACGACCAGGGTGGCCGTGGCATGTCCTTACAGAGTGCTAAGGCTCGCCACTCTCTCTCAGCCTTCTTGTCCGCTTGTCTCCCTGGACCAAAGCTGACTCTGGTGGCTCTTCTGGGAGGCGCTGACCTAGACCAGGGATCCCCCCGCAGTGTCTGGGGGGATCTAGGTGCTGGGAGAGGGTCACCCGTGGGGTCTCTGCTTTGCTGGGCCCCAGGACAGCCTGAGTCGGGGTGGCCACTGACTGACTCGGCCTCTAGAAGAGCGCAGGTCCGAAAGGTAGGCAGAAGAGCTGAAAAACCAGTCCCTGGACACCAGCAGTCCTGCCTTCTAAGTCCTTTTGGTATCAGACCTGCAGGTGCTGGTTTTGTGGGTGTGATGTCACCGCATGATAACTCGCGCTGCCTGGTGGAGCGGGAAGTGAGCCGAAAGCGGGGTGTGGACGCTCTGCTCACAGAGGCACAGTCGGCGGGTGCAGCTGGGTGCAGCTCAGCGTGGCCATGGCCAGGGCCAGGTGCAGCGGAAACAGCAGGGTGTGATGGGGCTGAGGGCACCGTGTAGGGAGGGGCTGGTGGCTGAGCGCGGAGGAAGCTGTGCCCCCACCGAGGGCTGTGGGAGTGCTGTCTGCCATGTGGGCGGGCTGCTTTGTGCCAGGCACCGGGGAGGTGTTCCAGCAGAGCCTGTCAGCTGCTGCTGTCCTTCCTGTGTGCTGGGTGAGTTCCCAGAGGCTATGGACTTGAACACAGGGCGTGGTGACCCAGTAGTAGAATTCTCACCTTCCGTGGGAAGGTCCGGGTTCAAAGCCACGCAGCGGAGGCTGTGAGGCTGGGCACGGTTCAGCAGACCTTCCAGGAAAAGGTGGAACAGAAAGGCCGGCTGAACTGTTCCCAAAGACCAGCCCGTGAAAATCCTGTGAACCCACATCCGCTCATGGAAATGCCGGGGCTGGCAGCATTCTTCCCGTTGAGCATGGGGACAACACGAGTTAGGGGCCAACTCTGCAGAGGCCAAGAGCAATGTGTCCCTTAGCCAAGGTCACGTGCATGTGAGTGAGAGTGGGAGTCCCATCTGACCTCTGGTTTCTGAGTGTAAAACAGACCTTTCTCTGCCCCCTAGGACAGTAAACAAGGATCTGAGAGAAGCAGACTGGCTCATCTCCCTCCCTGGAGAAGGTGGTGGGTTTGAACCCACCTTTTGCCTCGGCCACTTGGGCTCCTGGAGATGTGGTCAGAGGGGGGAATTAGCATTTCCAGTTCAGTCAGGGCTGCCTTTGTTTTTTAACTGTCTGTCTTGGAATAGTCAGGGTGTTCCTCAGAAGCAAGGGCAGGGAGCCTTCGTCTCAAATACTTTGGGCAGATTATCAGGAAGACTTACTGCTTTTATGTACCATTGAGTCTGAACCGCCCCACACCGGACCCTCCAGCAGGTTTTCAGAGACGGTACATCACACAGGAGAAGCCTGCCCTCCCTCCTCCCGTGAGCAGCTGGTGGAGTCGAACTGGGTGCCTTTGGGTTGGCTGGGCAACTCTTTATAACTATTGTTGTTAGGTGCTGTCAAGTTGAGTACGACTCATAGCAACCCTGTGAACAAAAGATCTGAACCCTGTTCTGTCCTGCACCGTCCTCACACTTCCTGACACACCAGAGCCCATTGCAGCAGTCACTGTGTCAATCTACTTGGTTGAGGGTCTTCCTCTCCTTCGCTGACCCTTCACCTTTCCCAGCATCATGTCCCTCTCCAAGGAATAGTCCCTCCAAGCAACATGACTGAAGTATGAGAGGCAAAGCCTTCTCATTCTTGCCTCCAAAGAGCACTCCAGGTGCAACCTCTCCAAGACATATCTGTTCGTTCTCTTGGCCACCCAACAGCTGTTCAGTGCACTTCTCCAACACCACAGCTCAAAGGTGTCAATTCTTTTCCTGTCATCCTTAGTCACTGTCCAGCTCTCAGATGCATAGCAAGTAGTCAGAAAGACTATGGCCTGAATCAGAGGCACCTTAGTCCTCAAGCTGACATCACTGCTCTTCAATAATTTGAAGAGGTCCCGTACTGCAGATTTTAATTGTGGATCTAAGCAGATGAGGCTCCTCTCCACCTATCACGACGCTGCTTATTGTCACCAGAATTCCGTCACGACTGGTGAAGTAGAAAGTCAGCGAGAAAGAGATGAGATGGCATGACATGGTGACTGGTAACTGCAACGATGGGCTTTCTGCACAGCAGAGCGCATGTGGTGGGTGCAGGGCCAGGCAGGGCTTCGCTCTGCTGTGCACAAGGCTTGGTGCTGACTCCACGGCACCTGACAACAACAACAGCCGTGCTGCTCCTGGACCACCTGACTCCCTCCAAAGTTGGGGTTCTATTCCTAATGTTTGTACCTGTGGAAAGGAGGCCTGGTCCCACAGGTAGTAGGAGTTGGACTGTCAATCAGAAGATCTGTGGTTCAAACCCACCACTCTCTCTTCAGTAGAAGGATGAGGTCATCTGTTCTCATGGAGACCAACAGCCTTAGAAACCAGATCAGGGCAGTTCTGCAGGGTCTGTGTGAGAGGCTGACTGAGGCAGAATTAACTGTGGGGCTTGGTTTTCTGAGTACGCATGGATGTCATCCTATTTGGGAAAAGGGGTTCCTTGTTACGCTCATGGGGTCACACCAATGTAGATGGGTCCATGTGGGCCCTTCTGTTTGGGGCTGGCCTCCTTCACGTGTGGCACGCCTCCTGAAGACGTCAGAGGGGAGAGTTTCTGTACCAGTGACATCAGCTCAGCCCCCCAGGAAGCCAGCCTGACTCGAGCAGGGAGGAGGCACAAGCTTTATTTCAGGAGAGAAGATTCCTCCTCTGGTATCTAGCACTGCTCTACGGGGCTGGCTCTGTAGGGTCGGCGTCACAGCACCACCATCCCGGGAACGCCAGCCATGCCTGCTTCCCACCCGCTGCCCCTTCACTCGTCATTGGCCTCCTTCTCCCCTTCCTCCGGCGCGTCTTTCAGGTTTTGGCGTGCAAACTCCTCAAAGACCAAATTTTCATCCTGTAAACTAAAATCAGACAAGAAGGACGTTTTGGTCATGACGCATTCTTCAAGGATGAAATGAAACTGAAGACACCCAGCTCTCCTTTGCTACAAAGGACTGGTGAGGGCTTTCCCACGTGAGAGCAGGGGCTGTGCTGTGTTCTCAGTCGCTTTTCTCTGAGTGTCTCTTCAGCAACATTATGAGAACAGAGAAGGAGTGCAGAGAGAAAGCGGACAGGCCCAGGACAGGGGTAACCCCACATGGCTACGTACAGGTAGACCTTGGAGACACGGGGGCTTCAGTGCCAGGTCACTGAAGAAAAACGAGGATGGAAGAGAGGGAGTCACACACACCTTGGTCACCTGTGACACTGTGCAACAGCCTAGTAAGTAGGCAACAGCATTATGAAAAAGGCTAAAATAGGATTGTTGTAGTTGTTGTTGTTATGTGCCGTTGAGTCGCTTGTGACTCATGATTAGAATGGCTAAATTGGGACACAGGACCACAAATGAAACATAGCCCATTGGGAAAGCAGCAGCAGTAGACTTGCTTGGCACAAGGATGCCACAAACTGTCATCTTGTGAAAACCGCAATATCTACATAGTGTGGTAAAACAAGGTGTGCAGGTCCTTGGGAGCAGAAGAAAGGTAAGGGGTGGGGGTGGAGTGGGGCTGAGAACGAGGCTCATAAACCAGACTCAAAGGGTTTGTGGAGGGGGAGTCACAGGATGCAGGGGGCTCAGGGCACGGTGGGCAGCTTACCTTTCCTTAGCTGTAATAGAGGAAGAGGAGAGAGAGATGTATTAGCATAAGTTCTGCATCAGAGCTACAACAGGACATTGTTTCCCTGGTTAGGTGATTTTAAGGCTCTTGAGACCAAGTTCACTGCTCTCATAGCCTCTGAGTTAAGGAGACACACACTCCAGGGCAGAGTAGAACGTGTCATGGGCTTTCCAAGTCCTTGGGAAGTGACAACATGTTTGGCAAAGCAGAGGGCCCCATGAAGGAGAAGATCCTCAAATAGATGGATTGATGGTGGTGCTGTTGTTGGGTGCCGTTGAATCAAGTATGACTCCAAACAAAACAATGGATTGACACGGTGAAGGGGCAGAGGCCGTGAGGGTCCCGGCCCAGGATGAGGCAGGACTCTGTTCTACTGCACGTGAGGTCACCAAGAGGCGACTCAACTCGATGGCACAAACAACAGTAAAAGACAGCAGCAGAGGCCACACCGTTCTCCTGAGCGACTCCTGGGTTTGTATGGCTAACTTTTCAGGCAGCAGCAAGCACTCAACCACTGTGCCACCAGGGCTCCTTATGGGAAGGCCTAATGCAACCACCACGGTGGAGCCCAGAGAGGGGAAATCCTTGACAACAGAATTTTGATCCCCGTGTACTCAATCTGAACTCTGTGTGTACAGGCTGCCATATAGATTGTTTTAAAACAGACTTCCGATGATTAAGTCACTAGTCTTACAAAATTCTACCATGCAATCTCCTTCATCATTTTTGGGACTGCCGAGCAGCTTCTTACCTCCTTCAGCATTTTTATCACCACAGCTATGCTGTTGTTAGGTGCCATCCAGGCAAGTACCACTCATAAGTGATCCTGTGAACAGCAGTTCGGAACCCTGTCCCATCCTGCACTGCCCTCAAAATCTCTGACACACTTGAGCCCATTGCTGCAGTCGCTGTGACAATCCATCGGTCAAGGGTCATTCTTTCACCGTCCGTCCACCTTCCCCAGCATGATGTCCCTCCCTAAGGAATAACCTCTCCTAGCAACATGCCCGAAATAGGAGAGACAAAGCTTCATCGTCCTTGTCTCCAAGGAGTGTTCTGGTTGCACCCTTCCGAGACATGGCTGTCCGTTCTCTCGGCTGTCCATGGGATATTCCATACTCTTCTCCACCACTACAGCCCAAAGGCACAGCTGTATTTTCCTATAAGTAATTATTATCTTTTTGTTTCCAATTTTTACAACTCAATTACTAATCATCAACAATGTGTCAGTGATTTCAGCATCACAGCAGCATAAACAGCCACCACGCCTAACTATGGCAAGCTGCTCGACCAGGGGGGAGGTTTTTACTTGTTTCTGAAATAAACAACTCATGGCTGTCTCTCTGGAGCTGACTCACACCTGAGTAAATCTCACCAGAAGAGATTGTCCGGCTTTCTCCTGAGGAGCTGGTGGGTATGAGGCTCCTGCCTTTGGGGTGCCAGCATCACTCTGTCCAGTAGGCCAGCAGAAGTCCCTGTACTCTAACCCCAAACCTCAACCATGGCCTTTGAGCTGACCCTGACCCATCGTGACTCTGCACTGGGCTTCCAAGGCTGTAAATCTTTATCAGATGAGACTGGCCATCTGTGGATCGGCTGGTAGATTCAAACTGCTGACCTGATGGTTAGCAGTCCAACACATAACACACTAGGTATGCCACCAGGACTCCAGAGAAGCTCTGCTTGGGATAATGAAAATAGATACCATAGTCTCAGCACTTATTAGTACTCATTATATAAAGCCTTGACTGCTTAATACGACTTTACATTCTCCTCTTCGATTCCCCACCTTCTTCTTGCAGCGAGGAACGAAGCAGGTGAGATTTGAAAACTTGAGACTCATAAACCTCTGCAAGTAAGAAGCAGGTGACTTCCTCCCGGAAATACCATGTCATGAAAAATGGTGGCTTAAACTTGACAGTGCCATGTTCAAGGTAAGGACCATAATGAGAGCCGGGTGGAAGTGGCGGGCGTGGAGGGGGAGGAGGAGGAGGAATCACTCCGTTTCCTCCAGAGTAATCCTAAATCCACCGATAACTGCAGGAAACAACCCAGGTCGGATGGGTAACACTGTGTGTATGAACTCTGTTAATGAAAAATTACCCTTGGTGATTAATACTGTGTGTCAACGTGGCATAGTTGCCACTATAATATACTACCTATCTGTGTGTTGTAAATTCTCTCTTCCGTGAGGTTACTGAGGTATGATTAGCCCTGGGGGGAGTCTCCTCAGGGCTGTGATCTGCCTGGCATTTATGAGAGTTGTTGTTATGTGCGGTCGAATCTCTTAAATCTTATAGCGACTCTGTGCACAAAGCCCTGACCTCTGCTCAATCCTGGGCCAATCTCACGGTCTCTGACACACAAACCTTCTTTACCCCAGTTTCTGTATCAATCCATCTCATCCAGGTCTTTCCTCTCCTGCACTGTCCCTCCACCCTTTCAGGCATGATGTCCTCCAAGGAGTGGTCCTTCCTGGTAACATGCCCAAAGTATGTGAGACAGAGCCTCAGAAGTCTCATCTCCAAGGACCAACCTGATTTCACTTTCTGCAGGACAGCCCTGTTGGTTCTCTTAGCAGTCCATGTTCTCCAGAACCACATCTCAAAGGCATCAATTCTTCTTCTGTCCTCTTTGTCATTGTCCAGCTCTCTGACGCATAACAAGTAATTGCAATGACCATGGCCTGGATCAGGCACACCTTAGTCGCTACACTGACATCCCTGCTCTTTAGCACCCTGGTGAAGTCCCTGAAGGCAGATTTTCATAATGCAATTTGTTTCTCTGGCAAAGTTAATGAGGTGTTTGTAGTTTGAACCCAGCATCAGCTCACTACCTGGGGACTTGAACCGTCAATCTGCCATACTTGCTGACCTTGGATTCCTCAGCCTTCAAGACCAGCAATCTGCTGCTCTGCCTGGGGCCCTGAACTCCTCCCCAGACACCTCTTTCCTGAGATCTGACCCATGGACCTGGAACTCTGCAGTATCTAAAACCACGAGCCATTTCCTTGAAATAAATCTCTCCATATATTTACTTCTTACATAAATGTCACTGGTTTTGCTTCTCCAGAGAAGCCAGTCTGAAATGCCAGCATAAATGTATGGCACCTCCCCAGAACGTTAACTTTTAAAATGTTCTTCAAAAGCAACCCTGTCTCACATCAAACCAATGAAATCCACTGCTTTTGAGTCGATTCTGACTCATTGCAAACAGACAGAACAGAGTGGAACTGTCCTGGCTTGTCATATTTATGGAAGCGGATGCCCACAGAGCAACTGGCATGCGGGAACTGGCAGCTGCCAGTTAACAGACAAATGCTTTAGCCACTGTGTAACTATGGTATCCTTCAATCACATATCATTTTAACACACTGTATCGTGATGAGACAAAGAGCAGGGATTGTAGTCAGACAAGAATATATGGATACAATCCTATATGGCTAGACTGACAAAGCAGACCTATTGGGCTAGTTGAGATGAGAAGATGCCCCAAGACCAGAGTCCTAGAGACATTCTCACACTCTGAACTGAGCCCAACCACCTTGTGGATAAATAGCAGATACCATCTCTGAAACTCGTTGCTGTCAGAGCCGGCTGGTGGCTAGACCTCTGGTGGCCTCCATGGCTGTGTACCCACGGGAGGTGACTGTCCATCCTTCTCCCACAGAGGTGGATTTGAAGGCCTTTGGGTTGCAGGACAACTCCTGATGGACTGCACTCAAGTAAGCTCAAAATAGGATGGATATCGCTCGTAAGTACTGTGCTCCTTGTGAAAAGCACCTGTAGGGGAGCCTGTGGCCAGAGACCGCTCTAAAGCCGAGAACGTGAGGAGGCAGGAGAGGGGACAGATGGAAATGGGACAGCCAGGTGGAAATGTGGCTGCTCCCGCTGTGTGTGATGCCACCAGTGTCTCTGCACACCTTGTGTAGAAATTGACGAGTGGAGACCGTAAATCTTCACCAAAAGTACAAGAAAATATTATTTCTTAAAAGTAAGCATATTGAGGCGAGCTCTGGTAGCCTAGTGGCAGGAAACTGCACTGCAATCCCAGAGGTGCACGGTTCAAATCCACCAGATGCTCTGCTGAAGAAGGAGGAACAATTGCCTCCTGTACCAGTCGGATCCAATTTGACGGTACACACATAAAATAAATAAATTTTTTTAAAAAAAGTAAGCATATTGAGATGGGAAAGTCTGTGGTTAGAGACCTCTCTAAAGTACTGAAGTTCAACGACGTCAGTCTGGAGACTAAGGTGCCCTTGATACAGGCCATGGTCTTTGCTATCACTTGCTATGCATGTAAGAGCTGGACAAGGACTAGGGATGATAGAAGGAGAGTTGATGCCTTTGAGCTGTGGTGCTGGAGAAGAGTACTGAATATACCATGGACTGCTAAGAAAATGAACAGGTTTGTCCTGGAGAGGGTGAAGCCGGGCTGCTTCTTGAAAGCAAGGATTCTGAGGCTCCATCTAACATACTTTGGACATGTTGCAAGGAGGAAGCAGTCCTTGGAGAGGGACATCATGCTTGGGAGGGTGAAGGGACAGCGCAGGAGAGGAAGACCCTCGACGAGATGGATTGATTTAATGACTGTGGTAATGGGGATAAGTGTGTCAGAGATGGTGAGATTGGCACAGGACAGAGCAAAGTTTAGGGCTGTTGTACATAGGGTCGCTATGAGTCGCAGGCAACTCAACGGCACATAACAACAACAACAACAAGCATATAGCTAGAATGTATTTCTCCTCAAAGGAAGATCTTGCCCAGATATATGGAAGAAGTGCTTTGAGACATGCATGGGGCCCAGTCTCCACGTGCCCACAGGAGCTTGTTCTCTTTGTCTCAGCATCATTTCCTCATCAACGCCGAGAGGCTGTTTATGAAGCATGAGAAACAGAGACCTACTTGTCTACCCCTGTTAGACTTAACGTACTCATTTATTAACGGTGTCCCTTTAAGGACTAAGGTGAGCCTGGCCAGAGCTCTGGTGCTGGTTGTTGTTGTTGTTGTGTTATTATGGATCATTGCTTGTGACTCACAACGACACTGTGTGTGACAGCGCTGAACCCGGCTCTGTCTTGAGCCAATCTCATTGTCTCTGACACACCTGCCCTCATTACCAGTCACTGAGTCAGCCCAGCTCATCCAGGGTCTTCCTCTCTTGCACTGTGGTGTGGTGTTTTCAGTTAGTTCACAGACACATGAAAGAACGGCGCAAAAGGAAGACTGGAGGAGAATTGATGCCTTTGAACTGTGAATAGCTCCTGGTCGGCCAGAAGGATAAGCAAATCTGACGTGGGAGAAATGAAGCCAGAAGGGCCCTGAGAGGCAAAAATGGTAGGACTTCCTCTCACATGTGTGGACTGTGCCATCTGGAGGGGCCAGTTGTCCGTACTTCCCACCTAAAATGCACAGCTTTGAGAGGATTCTGACTCAGGGTGCCCCTCCGTCAGGTATGTGAGGCTGTCAATCTTATAGGAGGAAATTATCTAAATGCTGCCCCAAGGAGTGCCTGGTGGAGTCAAACCACTGACCTTTTGGTTAGCAACCCAATACAGAAGGCATGTCATGAGCAACGCTCGTAAACCGTCTTTAAATAGTAACCCAGGTCTGCCGATGGCAGGGTCTTTGCTTTTCAATTGTTCTGGGGAAACCTTCCTAGGGTGTCCCTGAACAGGGGTGCTCCACCGCACCCACTAAATGAAGGTCCACCAGGCGCACCTGCTCAGGACAGACCCACGTTCCCCACACGAAGCCAGCCCAGTGACCTTGTAGAGGAAATGGAACCTGTGCTCCTGGCCACCCCACTCAAGTGTTCAGGAAAGGTTACAACTAATGAGAACGAGGCTTGCAAGCAGTACACTCTCGGAGAAAGGCAAGTAGAGGGGGCACTGACCTGAGCTGGGCTGGGGGTGCATGAGGCGGAATGGCACCTCCGTGGCCACTTCGCTGTGGAAAGAAGAAAGCAGGTGTGTGAGTGTGCATGTGAGTTCTCTCACGTGCGTGCTCTCTCTCTCTCTCTCTCTCACACACACACACACACACACACGTGTACGCACTCACACAAGCAATTAGACATCACACTGTGAAGAGCCAAACTGTAGCTTCCCACCCTGAGAGCCTCCAGCTCTGAGCTGAACTGAGGACTCCAAGGAATTAAAACTGAAACACACCGACATGCAAACACACATGAAGTCAGGAAGTGGCCATTCCCCGGACTGTGGTCCAGAGACTGCCAGTAAGCATGGCCGTGTTGCTAGCATCGCTTGTTGTTGTTGTTAGTAGCTGTCCAGTAGCTCCGGCCTCGGTGACCACACGCATGGTGGGACAAGTCCTGCCCACTCCTGTGCCATCCTCCCAACCGACTGCTGGCAAACTGGACCAATGCGCTCACAAGGTTGGTTTGGTTTTTTTAAAAAATTGTGGTTTGAGAGAGAATTTGAAAACACACACACACACACACACACACACACACACACACCAGACAGATCTTTTTCTTTCTTTCTCTCTGTCTTCGACAAGCATCCCAGCCTCACACCTCAGCCAAGTGGTGACAGGCCATCTGAAGGCAGAGCCTTCTGCCCTACCACCTTTGACTCCAATCCTGAACCCAGATCAGCCGGACAGTGGGTCTGAACCGAGACCAGCCAGAAGGTGCGTCTGAACCAAGGTTTGAAACCCTGGGAAGCAACCAGAGAAGAAATGGAGAAAACTTACCTGCTGGTGAGCTCACCCAGAAATCTAGGGGGGGAAAGAAACAAGTATCTTACTATGATCACAATAAAAAGTCAAAAGAAACAAAACCCCAACCATTTAATGGGCAAAGCACCCACAAGCCTAACACAAGCCTGTCTCCCTCCACCAGAGGCAGATCAGCCCCAGTTCTCAGGCTGCCTCGTTCACAGCTCCAGGTCTATGCAGCCTTCCTGTCAACTGGACTCTTTCCCAGCCAGTGACTCTGCCTCTTGGTCAAGGGGACCAGATAAGATAGGAATCTGAGATTCCTCTTGAGGCCTGGAGTTTGACAGCAAACCACACGCTCGGAAGTTTGCTCCGGCTGTTGTGAAATACCTCAGGACTGGTTTGTTGTGCAGTTTTTGTTTTTTTGAAATCCCAACTCTTTACATTTTCTTAGAGAAAACAAAAACTCTTAATTTTAATAAACAGATAAAAATACTGTATTGACAGAGTTGTGAAAGTGCCCCATGGTCCACTTCACTGCCCAACAGAAATTCCAGGAACTATTTGGGAATACGGATTTGACCTGAGGGCCCAAACTGCCAAAGTTCATCTGGTCAAAGGCCAGAGCTTCTGGCAACAGAATATGGAAAAGGAAAAGAGAGTAAGAATAGTAAAAAGAATCCAAGAGGTTTTCTCTTTCTGAGATTAAGGGAACAGGGAATGATTTATTTCCCTGACAACATCAGAAAGTTGTTTCCTTCAAACTCGAAGTTATCTGTGGTCTTGGTGAAAAAGAGACTCCTAAGCAAATCAATATAAAAGGAAAAAAAAATTTTCTTTACTTATAGAAAAAAATGAAAAATAGAACAGAAAATATCCAAAAAAAGAAAAAAGAGGTTCCCCAGCCCAGTCATCACAGCTGGTAGAGGGGACGGACGGTCAGGCCCTCTCTGTGATTGATGCCTCCTCGGACACAGCTGAGTGTGGGTTTATCAGGAGCTCTTTTTGGGGCCACTACTGTTTCCCCTAAAATACAATATAACATTTTTTAAAATAATTTTTTATTGTGATTTTAATGAAAATTTGTAGAAAACTTGGATTTCCATTCATTCATTTTGCACATTTTTCTCCCTACCCTCCCCAGCTGGCTTTTCTTTTTAAAAAGATTCTTTCATTAAAATACAATATAACATTTTTAAAAAAGTATTTTATATTATTTTGCATACAAAATTCATATGCATTGTGTTTCACACTTTCATTCAAATTGTATTTCATAGTATCCTTCTCATGCATTGCATTTTATAATATTAAGCTATTTGCATATCAGATTCCACCCTCTGCACACACTGCCTAACTCCTGCCCCGTGGAGTAGGTCCTCACAGCACATTGAACTCAGAGCAGAACTGCCCCAGGCGGCTCTGAAGGCTGTAAATATTTACAGGAAGCACTAAGGAGTGGCTCGGAGGTTTGAACCACAAACCTTTCAGTTAGGAGCCCAGTGATTAACCCCTGCGCCACCAGCTTGTGCGTATATATGCCAATTTCTTCTTTACAATGTTATATCAACAGTGCACATATTTCACTGCCAGCTTTCTATCTTCCACCACTCAGTATTATACCAGATAGAGCTGAGAAACCACAGAAATATTCGTGTATTTTGACACACAGCAGTCCTTCCATTGGGTTTAGGATGCTGTACATCTTTATGGGAAGAGACAGCACATCTCTCTCCTGCAGAGTAGCCGGTAGGTCTCAGCTGCCAACTGTCTGGTTAACAGACTAACATGCAAGATGCTATGTACTTCAAAACTCCACGTGGTGGAGAATAAACCTTATGGACCTCCCCTTCCCGTCTGTGGAGTTCTTCACAAAGCCGAGAGCCGTGACAGAACAGGTGGATGAGGGGTCCGGGATACTCACCCAGACACCGTGAGCTTCACCTTGATCTGGTAGGACACGAGGATCCCCAGGATGGTCCTGTCTATGCCCTCCTTAATGCTGCCCGGACAGAAAAGATAAGGATGAAGACGGCTGTGGGGACCAAGGGCCAAGAGGATGAGCCTTTCTCCTTGCACCCAGGCCTGCCCTCAGGGGCCTCTTCCAGGGACTGGAGCTCTACCATGCTGTCAGATTCTAGAGCTGTGTGTACCTGGCACAGGGGGTGCTTTCACAGTCTAACTTAGTGTTTTCCCACTAGTAGTGGTGCGAAGACCACTGACGGCTCCCTCCTCACCACTGATGTTCTTGGGTTGGGGATCCAGCCAGAAATAGGGCTGTTAGAGTCTGAATTGTGCCCCTAAAATACATGCTGCAGACCCTAAAGTCCCATACTTGTGGGAGCAATCCTTTCGGGGAAAGTCTCTGCTGTGTTAGTGAGCTTCACCACTGTCGAGTGGCTCTCAAGACCATCACCTCCGAGATGTGACAAGGCTCACAGAAGGCAGCAACAAAGGGGCAGGTACCACGTGGAGGTGACCAAGACCCGAGGACCAGAAACCCTGAAGAGACAAGGACCTTCCCCCAGAGCCAGCGGAGAGCCTTGTCCTAGAGCTGGGGCCCTGAACGTGGCCTTGGGGCCTCCCGAACTTTGACGAAATGCCCCCTGGTGGCATTTTCCTTTAACAGCCCTGCGATGTTTCTAAACTGTGAGAAAAGAAATTTCTGTTTGCTGCAGCTGCCACCACCTCAGAGTATCTCTGTTGAGTGTTGTTGTTGTTTTAGGCACCATGGCGTTGACTCCTAGCGACCCTATGAACAAGGGCTCTGAAACCTGCCCTACACTATGCCATTCTCACCATCCGTGACACACTTAAGCCTATTGTTACACTCACTGCGTCAATCCATCTCATTGGGGGTCTTTCTCTCTTACACTGACCCTCTATCTTTCCAAGCATGATGTCCTACTCCAAGGACTGACCCTTCCTAACAACATGCCCAAAGTATGTGAGACATGTCTGGGACAGGGACGGGGTCTCTTTAACACACTGTCTCCTGCTCTCTGACGGACTGATGCAGGTGGAGCTGGCCATCAGCAGAGACCACACCCTCCGTGGGTCCTCTGGGCCCCCCTCCTGGATGCGCGCTATCTTTTCCAGCCTCAGTGTTTTTCAGTCACCCCCTTACAAACACCCAGGTTCTTCCCCAAGTGCTTCCTGCCATCCCACTGCAGCCAGAAAGAACTTCCAGGTCAACGTTCAAAGATGGCACCACAGCCAGTCGCTGGCTTGGCCTCTTCCCTCTTCGGTCCCCTTAGCCCTTGGTCATGCTAGCCCAGCACCAACTTGCCCTGAGTGGCTCTCCCCCTTTCTTGCTCCCTGGACACCCCCTGTCTGCCAGGTAGTGCTGTGCTCCCTCTTCTGTGCTGTTGGCACCCCATCTCTGGGCATGCTGAGGGTGTCTGTCATCGTGTCCACAGCCCTGTGTCCCAGCCCCAGAGAGCAGCCTGTAAGGAGTGGGGGTTCCCTGATGTTTGAGTGAACAGGCGGAGGTGTGAGTGTGTCGGATGCCGCACAGAGTGCAGGCTCCCAAGCTGTTTCCTGGGCAGTAACGTCACTCCAGAGTCCACTGACTGGGACTGAACTCCTGCTCCTGGTGGGCGCCCTGCCAGGCGTCTTAGCTCAGGTTACTGCTCCGCCCCAGTGTGGGGACAAGAGCATTCCAGGGTGTCCCAAACCAGGAATTCAGGCCCGAGAAACATCACGAACTCAGACCTACAGAGAGCTCTGTTGGCTTAGAGGTCAGGAACTGCTAACACAGAGGTGTGAGATTCGAATCCACCAGCTGCTCCGCGGGAGAAGGATGGGCAGTCTCCTTCCTTGTGATTTACTGCCTCTGAAAACCCACCTGAGGGTCAGCTATGAGTCAGTTCCACCCTGACAGTAAATAAAAACTCACTACATTAGGTCACCAAGAATGGGAACCTCAGGAGAGAGATGAGCTGTCTCCTCTCATGCAATTTACAGCTTCGGAAACCCAATGGAGAGAGTCAGTGATGACTTGGTCCCAACGCCCTGCCAATGCGTTTGAGTGAGTTTGAATTTTGAATGATAGAGAACCTGGCCAACGATGCCAGGGACAGAAGACAGGGCTGTGTTATGTCATCTGGGAAGGAGGGTGAAATGGGGCCGCTGAGTTACAGCCAGGAAGACTCTGGGCTCAGGAGGAGACAGCCACCTGAGGGGACCTCCTGATGGGCCCACTGTGGCCTAGCTCACCAATACGGCTCCTTTCTTAGGACAAGACGCCTGTCTGCAATGACAAAACGCCTGTCTGCAATGACAAAACGCCTGTCTGCAATGGTGTGAGGCAGGAGCATTGTGTGGCCAGAGCCTACCGTTGGTGGGGATGTCGGGGCTGTGAGCCTATGACCTCATCCCATCCCTTTGCTTGAACAGAAACTGGCACAAAGTACCTCTTGGACCCACGGTTGACATTATCAGCAAACTTCCAGCCATGGTGTTGTCTGGGTGGAAAATACAGCACACACTCTCACACAGGGGCACTCACTGTACCGAGACACGTGTGTCCACACACAGACTCAATTCCTCCAGGTTCTGAAAAGTCAGCAGTGATTCCGGGCCCCAGAGGAAGGAAGAATGCAAGGCTTAAGGCCAGGAGCCGACTCGCTGGGTCGTGAACTGACCTGCTGACCTTGGACAAGGCCCTCTCTCTGGCTGAACTCCTATCTCCTCACAGACAGACTGATAAGAACACCTTTCTTCCTGAGGAAGGGAAAGGCCTCCAGGTTGCCAGAAACTGAGTCAGAGCTCATGTCTCGGGAGCACTTTATGTTGCCGACCACCAAGCTGGGGGATTAACTCAGTCCCTATATGACGCGGAACTGCTAGCTCTCCCATTTGACAGATGGGAAGACTCAGGGGCTCAGGGAAGTCAAGTCATGTGCCCAGGCTAGTGCAGAGGGGAAGCTGGGCGGTCTGGTAAGACTCCATCATTGCAATACCCACGTGGTACCAGGGGTGGGGACCACACCTGGGTCCTTCTGGGAGAGCCTTACTGGGGATCCTTACTGGGGCCACTGACTGTGCAGCACACACGCAGCCTGCCATCCTGCACTTGCAGCCCTTGAACTTGAGACCAGAACGGGGAGCAGCAGCCCAGTGCTTTGCAGCCTGACCTGAGCCCTCCAGAGGCCAGCCCAGCCTGGCACTCACATGGTGGTGGAGGCCAGGTTCGTGTCCTCGTGCTTGATCTTGCCGTCCAGCGCGATGCCCCGCCTCTCCCTGTTGTTGGCCAGCAAGGGCAGCAAGGTCAGTGTCTTGGTCAGCATACCATTCGGGGGCACTTTCTCTCTGCAGGAAAAAAACCAGAGTGGAGTGTTGGTTCATGGACACACAGACTCACAAGAGCAGGGCTGCAAACTGGTTCAGAATGACTCAGCCCCAGCACAGAGAACAGGGGCAGAACACGCTTTACACAGCAATCCAGTCCCTTGACCTCCCCCCGGGAGGCGAAAACACACAGCATGACTCAATCAGTGACGGTGGTCAGCACTTGTCCCTGAGGCCATCTGCTCACAGCAGAACCAGGAGCCAAGACCCACCAGGCACTGGGGTACATGAGAGTGCACCCTAAAAGGGGACAGACTAGAGCTCTGAAGGCCTAGTGGCAAGACGCTGCACTGCAATCCCAGAGGTACACAGTTCAAAGCCACCAGATGCTCAGCTGGAGGAGGGGCAATTTCTTCCTGTACCAGTCAGATCCGATTTGACAGGAGACACACACACACACACACACACACACACACTATCTTAAAAATAAAATAAAAGGGGACAGACTAGTGGTCCAAAGGAGCCAGTGGCCCTGGTTCCTTCCTGCTTCCCTCTCTTGTAGACCTGGGTTTGAATTGATGTCGGAATCTGGAACATTGCATCCCAATGTTGCCTTTTAAACATACCTAACATCGAGTGGGCCAGGCTGCCCTATTTGTGGCCCCAGGAATTCGTTCTTTGGGGAAGCAGACCCAAAGAGGTTGGGGGACCATCCCACCCCACAAAGCTTTCCAAGTTCTTCATCCCGATCCCTTTCCCTAGCCTGTCCTCATTATGGCCTGAAGGGTGGACAGTTCAGAGCCACTGGTCACTCTGTGGGAGGAAAAAGGTAACCTGATCCGGCAACGATTTACAGTCTCAGAAACCCCAGGGCCGCTCCACTCACTGTGGGGTCACTACGTGGGTCAGAACGGAATAGAAGGTGATGGCTGGGGGGTTTCTAATCCGTTTAGTGGAATATCTCTTTATGGACAAAGGTGCTTAGAGCATGCCAGCTACGTAAAGAGGGGAGACGGGTACAGAATTTACTTTTTTTTTTAAGTTTTTTTATTTTTTGTATGTACCGTCAAATCAGATCTGACTGGTACAGGAGGAGATTGTCCCTCCTTCTCCAGCAGAGCATCTGGTGGATTTGAACCGTGCACCTCTGGGATTGCAGTACACCTTCTTGCCACTAGGCCACCAAAGCTCGCCAGAATTTACTTTTTTAATATATAAAAGAATTTACTTTTGGAGGTGATGAAAAGATAAAATTGACTGTGGTGATAACTGTGTATTCTGTAAAATAGTAAAATTCCTTGTATTAGTATATATCTTTTCCTATAGGTAAAGTGTAAGGTATGTGGCTTATATCTCAATAAAACTGAGAACTAAGTGTTTTCCTTTTTTTGCCTGTTTCCAAAGCCTCCTTTCAGATGGGGGATGGATGAGCAGTGTCTTCAGTGGACCCATCTGACCACCTTGCATACAGTCTAGCTGGCAGCTCTCTCCTGGCCCCCCCAAAGATGCTATCACTTATTCTCATTTGCTTTTTTATTCTAATGAAGGGAGAAAAGCCATTCTTGGCAAGAGACTGAGAAAGACACATCCTTCTGTCACTGGTAAGAGATCTAAGAGATGGTCATAGTGAGAAGATAGAATCTTCCCCTGGGCTGGGGCAAAGATCTCAGATTCTAAGAATTCCCAACTGATAAAAAGACAACTGGAACACTTTGCTAAAAAGCGTAGGTTGGGGAGAGTGTTAATAGGGGAGCAGTAACTCAGAAAATGGGATTGTTATGGGTTGAATTGTGAACTGTGCAAACCTTAACCTCTCTACCTGTGGTTCTAATCCCGGTTGGAAATGGGATTTCATTGTTACGTTATTTAACACTATTAATGTAGCATTTATCTTATTTCCCTCTCTTCCACAAGGAGATGTCTGAGGAACCAGGAAACAGCGATAAAGCCAGGAAGATAAAGATTGACCAGATGAGTCATAGGATGGCACCATAAAGGAAGCAAAGGTCATTACAAAGAAAAGATCAAGTGTAAGAAGTCTCTGAAAATTGCACTAGAGTGTCAGGAAGCCAGAACAAAGGGAAGAAATGCCAAAGTAAAAGAACTGAACAGAGGATTTCAAAGGAGAGCTTGAGAAGACAAAGTAAAGTATTAGAATGAAATGTGCAAAGATCTGGAGTTATAAAAAGAGAAGAATTTACTCGGTAATTCTCAAGCTGAAAGAACTAAAAAAACAGTTAAAGTTATGACTGAGAGACGCTATGAGCAAAATCTCAAATGACCCAGGAAGCATCAGAACATGGAAGGAAAACAGAATCACCGTACCAAAAAGTTAGCTTGCTATGGAATTATGTCAGGAAGTAGCATATGATTCAGAACCAATGATAATAAAGGAAGACATTCAAGCTACTGAAAGTACAGGCAAAAAATAAAGCCCCAGGAAGAGAGACCAATTGACAGGTTTCAATTAAAAGATGCAGCCATGGATGTGCTCACCAGGTTGTGCCAAGAAATCTGGAAGACCAGTCGTTGGGCATCTGACTGGAAGAGATTCATATTTGTTACCATGACACACACACATACACACAAATCCAACAGAATGTGGAAATGACGGAATAATAATAATTAATTTCATATACAAGCAAACTCTTGCTGAAGATTATCCAAAACCAGCTAGAACACTGACAGAGAACTGCAAGAAGGTCAAGCTGGATTTAGAAAGAACCATTTGCACCGGGGATATCACTGCTGATGTCAGATGCTTCTTGGTTCAAAGTAGAGAATAACAAAACAGTGTTTAATTGTGTTTTATTAACTGTACAAAGACATATGACTATGTGGATCATAAGAAATTGTGGCTAACATTGAGAAGAATGAGAATCTTAGAATACTTAATTGTATTCATGTGAAAACTATACCCTGACCAAGAGGCTGTTATGAAAATAGAGCAAGGGAATTCTGCACAGTTTCAAAATCAAGAAATGTGTGCATCAGGGCTATGTCATTTCTCCTTATCTATTTAATCTGTATGCTGAGCAAATAATTCAGGAGACTGGACATTATGAAGAAGAATGTGGCATCATTGGAAGAAGACTCATCAACCTGCATTATTCAGATGACATAACCTTGCTCACAGAAACTGAGGAGGAATTGAAGCGCTTGTTGCAGAAGGTCAAGGACTGCAGTCTTCAATACGGATTGCATCTCAATATCAAGAAAACAAAGATTCTCACCACTGGGCCAACTGACAGCATCATGATAGATGAAGAAAAGATTGATATTGTTAGTGATTTCATCTTGCTGAGATCCACAGTCAATGTTCTTGGTACCAGCAGTTAGGAAATCAAAAGACAAGCTGCAGAAAAATCTGCTGTCAAGGAGTGCTCCAGAGTACTAAAGAGCAATGATGTTAGTTGGAAGACTAAGGTGTGCCTGATTCAGGCCAGGGTCTTTTGAATTGCTTGCTATGCATCTGAGAGCTGGACATTGAATAAGAATGGCAGAAGAAGAATTGATAGCTTTGAGTTGTGGTGCTGAAGAGTGTTGACCATACCATGGACTGAAACCAGGTTGCTTCTGGAGGCAAGGATTTTGAATTCAAGGATTCTGTCTCACATACTTTGGGCATGTTTCCAGGAGGGACCAATTCTTGGAGAAGGCTATTGTGCATGAAAAGGTGGAGGGACAGTGCAGGAGAGGAAGACGCTGGGTAAGATGGGCAGACCCGGTGACTGTGGCGATGGAGGCAGGCATGTCAGATGGTGAGGTTAGCTCGTCAGGGCAAGGTTCAGGGCGTTGTTCATAGGGTTGGTGTGAGTTAGAGTTGACTCAATGGCACATAACAACAATAACAAGTGGTAAGAAAAGAAATTTCTTTTGTTAATGCCACCCACTTGGTGTATTTCTATTCTAGTATCACCAGAGAGCCAGGACAGCGGGTGAGGATGGTTATCCAGTTTGAAGAAAGCAATCAGTGTCGCTGAATTACATGTGTAAGAATTGGTGGGTTGGTAAATCTTCGGCGTGTAATCTCAACAACAGCAAAGAAAGCCAATTATTTACAAACATCCAAGTGCCTAGCAACGCTGCCCAGGATAAGTGGTGAGACACGTTCCCATAGGACGTTCCCGTGTCTGCTTCGTCCACTTCTGCTCCCTGAGAACTCTGTGAGGGGTGAGCCAGGGTCTGGTGAAGATGGGGTTAAGTTGCTAAGGATCCTACCAGCCCTTGGAGTGGGAAGAAGGAAGGGGAGCTGACCCCCGAGTTGGCGGTCAGCAATCACCAAAAGGGGAACCTGACCGGAAGCTGGGCATCTGAGGAAGTGGAAGTGCGGTTGAAACTCACTGTGTTTCCTCCATGGCAACAGGCTTGACATAATAGTCGCTGGAGTAGAGGACCACATTGGCCACTTGTTCCACTGCAGAGGAGGAAGGGGTGATGAGTCAGGGGGTCCCGCCATGGCACGCACCAACCCTGGGTTCCAGGGAACACTGTCTTCACTGGTCACCATTATAATCCACTCCCCTGGCTTGTCCTTCTCAGGCTAGGGCTTAAACGTGCCCCTTCCCAGCCCTGTCCTAGATGCCCAGTAACTCCTCCCATCCATGAGCTGGAGCCCCGCCTCTCCTCTGAGCTCACGGGACACCCCTGGGCACCTTTAGTTCAGCACTGGCTCTCTTTCTCCAAACCCCATCTCCTTCCAGCATCCTCTGTCTCACAACACAGACAGCCTCCTCCTGGTTCTCATGCCAGAGGCCACGTGGAGGCAGCGTGGACGGGCTTCCTGTGCATGATGGACCGAAAGGCCTGTCTGCAGCTGAGCTGTGGTGACCCCACAGGTTTGCATGATGGACCAGAAGTCCTGTCTGCAGCTGAGCTGTGGTGACCCCACGGGTTTACATGATGGACCGGAAGGCCTGTCTGCAGCTGAGCCGTGGTGACCCCACGGGTTTGCATGATGGACCAAAAGGCCTGTCTGCAGCTGAGCCGTGGTGACCCCACGGGTTTACATGATGGACCAGAAGGCCTGTCTGCACAGAGTATAACTCTGCCCGTAGGATTCTCAGCCCTGGCTTTTTCAGAAGCAGCGCACCAGGCCTTCCTAGTGAGGTGCCTCTGGGTGAACCCAAACCTCCAACTAGTCAGCTGGCAGCTGAACAGAGGCATCGATCCTAGAATATTCTAGATGTTCTAGTTCGCAGTAACACAGATGGTCACCATGAGTTGACACAGCCTTGATGGCAATGGGTTTGGTGTTTTGGTTTTCACTAGCAATGCTAGTAGAATGCTGGAATGTTCCACGTGCACATCCAAATTCTCACACCTCATCCGTGAAGCACCGCAGAGAAAAGAGGAAAGTGGTATATGTCACCCAGGGTGACACAGCCAGCCCTGGTGGCACAGGGTTAAAGTGCTTAGCTGCTAAATGAAAGGTTGGTGCTTCGAGCCCACCAGCTGTTCCCTGGTGGAGAGAGGAGGCGTTTGGCTTCTGGAAATATCACAGCCTGGAAGGGCCTCTGGGGCGGTTCTCCTCTGTCACATGGCAGCACTATGAGTCAGGGTGCAGTGGACCATGTTTGTCCAGCAACTAGTGCACAGTGAAGCCCTGTGAGTCGAGGACAGGTGTGGAAAGGGCCAGTGGGGGAGTCTATCCTGCAGCCCTCGCAGCCAGGCTTGGCCACCAGGTTACGGTTGCCCGAGGCCTAGCAGGAGGCTTCAGCCTTGCAGAAAGTACTTTCCTTCAGGGTTTTACAAAACCTGGAGAGGTAGACAAGGAGCCAGTCCTGGGCATGGGAGATAGGCTTTCCCTGGGCTGAGTCCACAGGCAAGCCCAGGGTTTGGAAGCTAGCTTTTCCCACTGCCCAGAGCACACTGGCAAATGGAACTTAATTCCGAGGCTTTGGCCCGTGGAGACACAAAATCAGAACTGAAATCAGCCCTTGGCTCAACCTTTGGCCCAACAACAGGCAGGTCGGTGTGGCAATCAGCAGGGACCTCTGGCGGCCTAGTGCAGCAAGGCGAGGTCAGTGCTTGGAAAAGAGTGTCGAGCTTGGAAAGAAGGAGGGTCAGCGGAGGAGAGGAAGACCCGCAACAAGATGGACTGACGTGGCGACTTCAGCCCTGGGCTCCAGTGCATCAGAGACGATGAGGCCGGCACAGGCTAAGGCAGGCTTAGGTCAGCTGGAAGCAGGAGCAGCATCCACTTCCGAAATGGCTTGCCTCCGGAAACTCTATGTACCAACAGTGCTCAGGCCGTTCCTTCATAGGGTCGCTCTGAGTCGTCTACGACTCGACGGCCTCAAACAACAACAACAACAAGGAGCGGTACTCAACTGGACATCACCTTGGGGATTGCTTGACTGTAATCCCAAGGTGAGTAGTTCGAATCCACAGCTGCTTTGCAGGAGAAGGATGGGTCGTTTCCTCCTGGGAGATCGTCTGCCTCTGAACAGCCACGGCGGCCCAGCTACGAGTCAGTTCTGACTCGAGGACATACAACATCAACCGCATACGGTGTCAGTAACACCAGGGAAGAACACACTCCTCAGAAAACCAGCTTCACAAGGTCAAAGGGTTGCATGTGCCCAGGGATAAAGCTCAGGCGGCAGGATGGGATGGGAAAGAGGATGAATGGAAATGGGGGACACAAGGAGGACGCAGGGAGAGTGCTGCTACAAAGGCAGGGCTGCTCTCTGTGCCTCAAAACGGATGAATTGCTGTGTAGGACACCTGTTTTCTCTGTAAACTATTGCTCAAGTCACAGTAAAGAGTTTGTCACTGCCCCCATGGCTCCCCTGTGGTCTGGCAAGGGCAGAGCTCCCAGCCCCACCCCAGGAGGCCTGGCCCTGGAAGACGGAAGAATCACCTGTCGGGTGTCATGCTACGACAGAGGGCAGTCCCAACCCGAGCAGATACTGAGTGATGAGAACCGTTAACACACTCGACTGCTAACCCAGCCGTTGGAAGTTCAAGTATTCCTAGAGGTACCTTGGAAGGAAGGCCTGGTGATCTACTTCTCTCAAATCAACTTTTGAAAGCCAATGGAGCACAGTTTACTGCGACGTAGGTACTATTGCCCTGAGTCAGAATCAACTCCAAAGCCCCTGGTAGAGTGGTGACAGAATGGGCAGAGGTGACATTTACAAAGTCATCTAAGGTCCTGCTTCTGTGACCCCCCCAAGGAGGAGAGGCACTGCAAGGGCCTGGCAGGACCTTTGCTGACCAAAAGAATGACCTTTATTGCTATTGTTGTTCGGTTGGTGCTGTCCAGTTGACGGTGACTCATGGGACGCCAGGAACGAGATCTGAAGCTGACCCCTCCCTCCCCATCCTGCCCATCCCTGCCCAGCGCCAGCCGTTGTGGCAGGCACAGCGCCAACGCTTCTCCCCGAGGCCTTCCTCTCTGTCTCTGACCCTCCACCTTTCCCAGGACCACGTCTGAGGAACTCGGACGTCTAGTCGGCCCTGCTCTGGCGAGGTCTTCCTTACCTAACACTTTAATCTTCTTCACCGTCTTCTCAGTGTTGTTGGTCACACTCACGGTCACAGGAATGGGTTCCCCGTGGAAAAAGATCTGAAAGAGGCAGGAGTCCGTGAGAAAGGGGGAGAAGTGTGTGGTGTGGGGGGGTGACCCTACCTGGTCCATCCCGATCTCTTTAACTAGAATGAAAGTGACTCAGTTCCTCATGTGCTGATAGGAGGGATGGAGTGATGGTGGTGTGTTTCCTTCACAGAAGCTTCCAGGACATGCCCTGCCTGAGCAAGTCAGCGAGATGCAGATGAGGTGAAGGGAGAACACGCGGGTCCTGAGGGAACCGTATCAGAGAACACACCTGTGTGTGTGCGCGCGCACACACACACACACACACACACACACACGTTGTCGGTCGTGTTCTAACCAACTGTGTGAATGAGTGATTGTCAGTAGGCAGACGGTCCTGAGGCAGCCCCAGCCAGTCATTCTTCCCTTTCATTCTGTGACACATAATAGAAACCACACACACACACACAGACACACACACACAGATACACACACAGACACACAGATACACACACACACACACACAGACACACACAGACACACATATTCCCTGCTGCTGTGGCTTCTGAGAAACATTTCCAGCAAAGTAAGCCATTTGTCGTCACCACACCTAGGTGCCAATGGTGAACGTGCTCAGCTGTTAACCGAAAGGACAGAAGGACAAAGCTTTTCGGTGATAAGTGTGTGTGCAGCAGGCAGAGGCGACTGAAGAGTGTGCTGAGAGCTAGGGTTGCCCCAGCTGCTGCAAAGTGCAGGCAAATCTTCATACTATTAAAGGGCAAGGAGGAGTTGTCTGAAGGATGCCCTAGTGACGCAGTGATTAAGCACTGGACTGTAACCCAAAGGCCCGTGACTAGGACCTTCCAGTCCCTCCAGAGGGAGAAAGATTCAGCAGGTGGCTTTCAAACAGATTTACAGCTTTGGAAACCACATGGACCGTCAAGAGAACAGACAGTTCCCTTCTAGAGAGGGTAAAGCCAACTTGCTCCCTGGAGGCTAGGATTCTGAAGCTCTGTCTCACATATTGTAGGCACGTGGCGAGGAGGGACGAGTCCCTGGAGGAGGACATCATGCAGGGAAGGGTGGAGAGGAAGAGCTTGATGAGATGGATTGACTCAGTGACTGGGGTAACAGGGGCAGGTGCGTGGGAGACAGTGAGACTGGCTCAGGATCTGACAGAGCTCAGAGCTACTGTACAGAGGGTCTCTGTGAGTCACAGGCGACTTGATGGCACATAACAACATAACAACAGGAAACTCTGGTAGCTCGACAGTAAGGAGCTGTGCTGCCAACCGAAAGGCACACGGTTTGAATCGGCCAGCCGCTCTGCGGGAGAAAGACAGCCTCGGAAAACCCCCTGGAGGGTCAGGTCCAAGTCGGTTCTGACCCGACAGTGCAAAACAACAATGGCACGGGGTCACTGAGAGTCAGATCAACACAACCACAGGGTTGTCTGTCAGTCAGATGTTCGTGACCAGAGGATGCTGGTCCCCGGCCTGAGCTCACGTGGGGAATGGTGACACGAGGGCTGCTCCCTCCCCCTCCCTGCCCGGTCACCTCTTTGCTGAGGGACACAGCCAGCTTCAGGGGCTTGTCGGACATGAAGAACTGCCAGGAGGCCTCGGCCCGGGGCTGGGGGCCCATCTCGCTGGGGGCGTGCTGCACCTTCCGGATCAGCAGACGCACGGAGCTCCTGTGGACGAAAGTCACACACGTGTCCTCAGCACACGTCTCCCCGATGCCCTGAGGGCAGCTGGATGGGCTGGAGCTGAGAGCGCATGGACAGCAGCCTGAGTCTGAGGCAGCCTGGAGGTGGAGGAAGCCGGGGGGCCTGGCCTGGGTTCCCTGACCACACGCTGTGTGCTGGCCAGCTCCCCCAAGTGGCCATGTTGTCCCTCTTGGGACCCAGCCTGGCCTCGCTTCAGTGAGCAGATGACCTATGAGTGTGCTGTCTGTCTTACTTGAACCCCCTACCAGTGAGTGGGTCAACAGTGACCCCGCAGGACAAAGGGGACCACCTCACAGGGCACCCAAAGCTCTAAGTCTTCACAGAAGCAAACTGCCTCAATCTTCGCCCACAGGGTGACTGGCGGGTTCTAAGCAGTCCAGTGCGTAACCACTGTGCCACCATTTCTCCCTGAATGTGCCTCAGGGTCCTGTGACACACCTGTGGTCAGGTAGGCACCCTCGAGTTGGCTCTGACTCAGCGAGCCCAGTAGAAGAACCAAAGCTGCCTGACCCCGTGTCACCCTCGTATTCCCTCCTGGGCCTGCCCGGTGTTCCTGCCACTGTTGGTCCCTCTCCGAGAGGATCTTCCTCTCCTCTGATGACACTCTACTTTTCCAAGCTTGATGTCCTTCTCCAGGGACTGGCCATTCCTGACAGTACATCCCAGTGTGCGAGATCAATCCAGCCATGCCCTCTTCTCAGAAGCAAAGTGGCTGTCCTTGTATTAGCATTTATGACTGCAGGTTCACCTCAGCAAGATCTTGGGTTTGGACTAAAGCACATATCATAGAAAAGTGAATTGGACCAATATTGGGCTCTGCAGTGCACATAAAAGTTCTATTTATACCGCTGCCCTGGCGGCACAATGTGTATGACACATTGTGATGTTAATTGGAGGTTGGCTGTTCAAATCTACTAGCTGTCCTTTGGGAGAAGATGAGAAGTCTTCCGCAAAGATTTACAGCCTCAAAACCCCAATGGAGGCCAATAAGAGTTGGAATTGATTTGGTGGGAGTGGGCGAGGGCACAAACTTATTTTTAAAAAAGGACTCCTGATGGCGCAGTGTATGTTGGGCAGCTAACCAAAAGGTCAGTGGTTCAAATCCACCAGTTGCTTCTTGGGAGAGAGATGGGAAGTTTCCTCTTGTAAAGATTGACAGTCTTGGAAACCTGCCCTGATGGGGGGTTGCCGTGAGTCGAGACAGACTTGACAGCACTTGGTCTGATCTTGATTTTGTAGTCTGTTAAAAGTCATGCAGAAGTTAAGGAATTTGGGGGCTGGATGAGGCAGGTGGTTTGTTGGAGTTTTGGGTTTTTTTGTTGTTGTTTTATTGCGTGTGTGTGTGTGTGTGTGTGTGTACCATCAAATCAGATCTGACTGGTACAGGAGGAGATTGTCCCTCCTTCTCCAGCAGAGCATCTGGTGGATTCAAACTGCACACCTCTGGAGACTGGTGGTTTGAACCCACCAACAACTCCACAAGAGGAAGAAGAAGCAGTCTGCATCTGTGAGGGTTTACAGCCTCAGGAACCTCCCGGAACAGACAGTCTTCCTGTCCTGCAGGGCAGCTGCGAGTTGGCAGCAGGCTGGGTGGTAATCTCTTAGAGGGGCCCTGGTGGGCACTGTGCTTAGGGCGTCCAGCTGCTAACCAAACGGGCTCGGCAGCAGGAAGCTTGGGTTTGGGTTTTCATGATCTGGGAAGCTGCTACAGCATTTAAAGAAAGTTTGAAATGTAAGAAGAACCAAAAGGGGATGCAGAGAAAAATGGCACCATTTGATTTGCTCAAACCTTCAGTGTGTAAAATAATACAATGTCTTGAGGGAGCTCTAGTGGCCTAGTGGCAAGAGGCTGCACTGCAATCCCACAGGTACGTGGTTCAAATCCACCAGATGCTCTGCTGGAGAAGGAGGGACAATCTCCTCCTGCACCAGTCAGATCCGATTTGACAATACACACATGCAAAGTAATAAAATTAAAAAACAATTAATTAAAAAACTAAAAACAAAACATTGTCTACAAAGTGCACTAAAGCGAGCTGTGTACCTGTGGAGCGTTGATTCACGTACATGCCCAAGGTGTGTGGGCGTGGCTGGCAATCTGGTCTGGGTACAAGGTGAAAACTGAAGAAAGGGCCTCTGGGGGTTCATAAGTGCTGTGAGGACCCCTGAGGTTCTGACTCTCACCAGCATTTTCTCCACGTGCCCCCCCCCCATTTGACCACTTGGTCCCGTCTGTGGAAGGTTCTAATGTGAGGAGGCCCCATCACCTCAGACCATGCTGGTCCTGTACAGAGTCCTGTCACACTGACATAAACGGGCGTGTGGTTTCTCACCCCACTCTCTGGCCGTCACACTCCTACAGCGATGCCCACAAATGTGCTCTTACTTTTTGGGAATTTTGTCCTCTTCACAGTCTGTGATGTCTGTGGCGAATGCTTTGACCTCAAAGTCGACTCCACAGGCCTGTCCGGGATGAGAGGATGGAGGGGAGAGGTCAGCGGAGGGGGGAGGTCAGGGGAGGGGAGAGGTCAGCAGAGGTGCGAGGAAATGCGCTGGGAGTTCAGACCTGGGGTGGGGTGGGGGTTCAGCCGCACCAGTTTTCTTTGCATTAACCATACCCGTTTATGGCTTCAGCCAGTGAATGAGATTCTGGGATGGACTGGGAATGAGGACAGGGTCTCAGCACACAGTCCCCGGAGGGACCCTCAGAAGGTGAATCTGTGCTGGCTCCCTTCTCTGGCGTCTCTGTGTCCATCTCTCCACACCACACTTACTCATCCTTGAACTTGTCTTCTTTCTCGGTCAGTTTACTGGTTCCTCTACCCACAGCTGTGAGGGCAGCAGATCCTCCCTCACAGGGTCTGGGGCAAGGGGTGTGGCCAGGCATCCACAGGGCCTCAGGCTGGGCACCAACAGCCTGACCCCTGTGGGCAGCTGCTGCCTTCATTAAGTGAGCACCAGAAGGGAGGGGGTGGGGCTTAGGGCTCTCTGTTAGGTTTTTTGTTTGTTTCTTGGGGGCTCTCTGGGGGTTTTGTGGGGTCTCTGTTTTTAAAAATAATTTGGAAATGGGATGTGGGATGAGGAGATATTGACTTTAATGAAATAAAATAGTGCAGCCAGAGTGTTCCTTAGAAGCAAAAGTGAAACTTTGTCTCCTATAGTCCATGTGAATGGAGCCCTGGCGGTACAGAGGCCGCCCGTCAAAAACTCCGGGGTTCAAATCTGCTCTCTGCTCTGCAGGAAAGAGATGGTCGGTCTCCTCCCATAAAGAGGTACAGCCCAGATGCTCTGCCGGGGAAGGAGGGGCAATCTCCTCCTGTACCAGTCAGATCTGATTTGACGGTACACACACACAAAAATAACACTAAAAAAAAATTTAAAAAAAAAGAGGTACAGCCCAGGAGTTGAAATTAATGGGATAGTAGTACATTTACTACCAAGCCCAAAGTGGGTGATTTTAATCTGCGGCCTTCAGGCCTCTTCAAATTGTTTTTTTGTCAAACATTCTAGGCGGTATAGCACTGATCTGTGCACTGCTGTACAGAGGTAACTTGTGGTGACTGGGATGCTAAACACTGTGACACTGATGTGTCAAATGCGATAATGGTCACCCATGGCGGACAGTGTTTGGTGGAGCTTCCCAATTAAAACAAGCTTGGAAGCAGGAGTGGCATCCACTTCCGAAATGGCTTGCCTCTGGAAACTCGATGACCAGTGCTCAGGCCTTTTGTTCATAGGATCGTTTGAGTTGTCTACGACTCGATAGCACTTAACAACAACAACAACAACAGTGCATTTTCTGGTTTGGTGACACCATAAGGAACACTGCTGGCCAGTGTGTTACGTGTTGGCTATTAACAGAAAGGTCAGCAGTTCGAATACTGGAGCTGCCTCCTGAGAGAAAGCTGAAAAACCATCTCTTCTCTTTAAGATTTACAGCATCACAAAGGTGATGGGAGGCTGCGGTGAGTCAGAAGCGACCTGACAGCAGTGGAGTTTGTGTGTGTCATTGGTGTAGAGTGGTATGTGTCAGTTCCAGTCTGTTCAGTCCCGGCAGCAGCTCCGTGAGAGAGAGCTGGGGAGTCTGTTCCCATGAAGATTACAGTCTCAGAAACCTGACGGAGGGTCGTCCCCGCGGGGTGGACTCCGCGGCAGTGGGCTTGGTTTTGGCCCTGTGTTTATGGGTCAGACCCTCGTGGGCAAAGAGCCCAGGGCTCTGGTCACAAGCCTGGCCGTGGTTAAGAACTGTAAGGAGAGTGATGAGCTCATGATGGTCCACTGCACTGGTCCCTCTCCTCCTGTGTCTACTGGAAGCATTCTTTGATAAAAAGTTATTTTTAAAGTCTATTGAAGGAAGGAAGGAAGGTGGGAAGGAAGGAAGGAGCTGCTGGAATTCCTCTTTAACTGACCTTTCCCACGTCTTGTGGGGCTGGCTGCAGCATCACGGAGCAGGGTAAATAGTCGGGGAACTGTGGGAAGAAATGAAAAGCCGTTTCATTCAGAGAAGGGTGTTCAGGGGTAACAGACAGTCGCCACATGAACACTGGGAACTGAAGACGATGAACAAGCAAAAGACAGGAGTAACGCTGTTGACAGAACCTTCCCAAACTCCATGCTGATGTCGTTACTTCACCAGCATCGACTCTATTCAGAGGAACCCTGGTGGCACAGTGGGTAAACACCCAGCTGCTGACTGGTACGTTGGGAGTTTGAAGCCACCAGCTGCTCTGAGGAAGAAGGAGGAGGCTTCTGTAACAGTGACAGTCATGGACCCCAGGTGGGGCTGTCCTATCCTGTCCTCGAAGATCACTGCAGGTGGAGACCCGCTTGACAACAGTGGATTGCTTCAGCTTTGGGTAACCCTCCTCAGATTGCATTCTGAACACGTTCCCATGTTGTAAAGTTCCACACCTATTGCTTTTAGGATTCTACAACATCCCTGCAGTGTACCAGCCCCCTTTGACGGCTGCTTCTTGTTATAATTGTTGCTGTTGAATTGGTTCGGACACAACAGACGGCCCACTGCCTGGCCCCCAGCCTCGCAGGTGTGATGCTGGGGCCCATCGGTGTGGCCCCTGCGTCCACCCATCGTCCTCTTTTCCTGATCCTCTGCTTTGCCTGCGTTAACATAATGTCCTTCTCCAGGGACTGGTCCCACCTGGTAACACGTCTGGAGTCGCTGAGAGGAAGTCCCGCCAAGCTTGAGGATTTCAGTTACCCTGATCTCACACACTGCTCACGGCAGCATTTTTACACTTTTTGTTATTCTTGGTCCCCTCACATGCATTTGGAAGCAGGAGTGGCATCCACTTCCTAACAACATGCCTCCGGAAACTCTGTGAACTTTGATGAATATGATATTGGTAGAGGGGCTTCAGGCCTTTTGTTCATAGGGTCACAGTGAGTGCTCGACTCAAAGACAATCAACACCACCACCACCACCACATGCATGCAGCCCTGGTGGCCCAGTGTCAAGAAGCTGCGCTGCAATCCTCAAGGCATGTGGTTCGAGGCCTCCAGATGCTCCGCAGGAGACGGATGGGCCATCTCCTCCCACGTGATGAACTGCCTCTGAAAACCACCCCCAGAGCTGGGGGTCGATTCTGGCCCAACAGTACATAACAACAACAACAACAACAACACATGCACGTAGAAGCTGGACAATGAATAAGGAAGAAGACGAATTGGTACTTTGGAATTGTGTGTGTGACGACTGTTAAAAATGCCACGGCCCGTCCAAAGAACAAACAAACCTACTTTGGAAGAAGTGCGGCCAGCCTGCTCTTTAGACGCAAAGATGAGGGGATTGGTCTCGCATACTCTGGGGCATGTTACCAGGAGGGGCTAGTCCTTGGAGAAAGACATTACGCTTGGACAAGACCAGAACCAGTGAGAGCAGGGAAGACCCTCGACAACACGGACTGACACAGTGAGTGCAGCAATGGGCTTCGGCACCGTGAGGACCTTGCAGCTGGCACAGGACTGGGTGGGCTTTCATTCTATTGACCAAAAGGGCACTGGGAGTGGGAACTGAACACAAGGCACCTGACAATAACAACAACGACAACATCTCGTGAAGCGTCTGCTCATGGGTTCACCTCACGTAGCACCTAAAAGTCTGTCAAGTTTTAAGGCGTATATAATACACTAGCAGAGAGAAGGTCGACCTTCACGGCTCCGACCAACAGCAGCTAGAGTAGGAATCCCTTCCCCACAGTGAGCTCATGCGCAAAGGCTTCAGAGGGCATGAGCTCTGGGGCAGCTGGCTTCAGCAGGCACGACGAGGACCTCAGGAGAGAAGACATGACGTCTCCTGATCCTCTCAGTGTTCACATCGCCTTGTCTGGCCCAGATCTCCTGTCCCAGGGGGCTCACTTTCCTGTTCAGAGCTCGTGGGGCCAGCTGAAGAGTAGGTCTAAGAGCTTTCTTTTTATAGTTGAATAAGCAAAGGAACAACCCATGCACATATAATTAGATGGTTGAATGAAGGGAGATATTTAAACAGTCGGTTGAAATAAGCTGAGAGGCTATTTTCAAAGACTTAAAAAAAGACAATCCCAGAGCGTGTCATTTAGAATTTGCATCATGGATGCAATTTAAAGACCCACAATGGTAAAGTTATTCTCTTATTCCCTTTCCTCTGCTCCCATTCACATTATGAGAGGCTGTGGTTTAGGGAAAAGCTGGGCTAGAGAGGTGGAGGGTCAGGGGAGAGGAATGCACACCTACCGTCAGCATGAAGGGGTATGTGTTGGCCCCGAGTTTCTTAAGCAGACTTTCCTGTAGCTTTGTGGGGGCACCTGCAGTTCCCACAGGAGGATACACCTGGACCCGAGAGAAATACAGGTCCCTGCGGAACGTCAGGCCAATCACATCGATGTCTTCCTGGCCATAGCGGAAGGCGCAGGTCAGAGAGACATAAACTGGGAAGAAGACAGGAGAAGGTTGGACCTTGCCATGTCCCAGTCCCCTTCCCAGTCAGTTGTCATGGCAACAGTTGCCACTAGCCTCAGTTTGCAGAGTGTTGATGCTCTCAGTCAGGGAATTCTAACCTTTAGCAACTAGAAAAGATGAGATTTGAAAGAAGCACACCACCCAGCAAGGCTTTGTATTTTTGGACTTGGCACTTTCCTCAGGGTCTGTGTTAATTCATTTAAAAGGATGCATCAGAGGGTGGGAGACACTTCCTTCTAATCATGTTATTTGGTCGGGGTGGTGGACATTGATTGTTTTCCTTTTTCCTGAAGGTTGTTCCCCTGGGAGCTAAGGATGACGTGTGGTGAGTCCTGAAAGCAGATTCTGGTGGACATTTATGGACAGAGAATATGACACTCACCCTTTGCTACACCATGTGCTCCTGCCCTCCCTTTCCTGGGCCCACCAGTGCAGGGTTGTGGAGGAGACTTTGAAAGTGTCAAGGGTTCTGCAGGGCAGACTTGGATGGAGTTAAGAATCGAGGTAATGGACAGAAGAAAATATGCTTGGGAGTAAAATAAGTCCAAGTCAGAGCTGGACATGGGGCAAAGAGTGATGCTAGGAGGTGAGTGAAGTCCTCGAGTGGTGGGAATGGCTCATGTGTTTGGCTGTTAACCCAAAGGTTGGTGATTCAAGTCCACTGAGAGGGGCCTTGGACAAAAATCCAGGTGACCTACTTCCTATGTCCACTGAAGACATTCTGGAGCATGGCTGTACTCAGCGTACGTGGGGTAGCCAGGAACTGGAGTCAGTGCAAAGTCAAGTGATTTATCTTCAGTGTTGTAAATGCAATGATGTGAAACATGCTAAAAACGGCATTGGAAGTGACCTCTCCGAGTGTTTCGTGGCTGTGGGGCTCTGTCTACCCCGCACCCCTGAGCTCCATGAAGCCATAATCACCAGCCAGTCAGTCCCTCACTGAGGGAAGAAGGAGGAAGCTGCTGGAGCCCCTGGTTCATGCCTGTCCTTCACCATGCATGCTGTGTCTAAGAGGAGGCGGCTTCTCGAGCCAGGGCAGGGAGCGCAGGGCTCACATCAGCCTCCCCGGCACTGGAGAGCAGCAGTGAAAGCAGAGGCCACAGAGGGGCTGACCCGGGCTGCACTTCTGCCCTGAACCCTTGGAAGCTGAAGTCCACACCTGTCATTGACCTTGGAGTGCATCTGGGGTTATGAACAATGCCTTGTGGTTGCCGGTAGCAACCACTTGGAAAAGCATCTTCGGAATGGGGCTGACTCACAAAGACATTCGCATCAGGACAACTTGAGTCGGCTCCAGTTCCATTGACGTAACTGTCATTACTAAGAAATTGTTTGCCATACACAGTGTAACTACCAGGCGGATTTTTAGGGCGTTCAGACCCGCAGGGGCTCAGAATCACTGCAGTAAGCACAAAAACATCTGGCTTCCACTTCCCCTGCCTTCCAGGAGGTGTGGCTTCCTCAAAGCCCCTGCCGGACACTTCCCTCTGGATTTGCCCCAGTGAGGGGCACAGTCTGTCCACAGGCTACACCTGCTACTTTGGATAAATGCATCTGTAAGCCTTCACTTCTCGGTCTGAGAAATGGGACAGGGGGGCTGTGACAGGAACAGGACTGTGTGGACAGGCTTAATGGACGAGGTGTGAATGGGTGAGCATGCAATAAGATGCTGGCCTGCTCCCTGCCCTCCAGACCCTCTGCTTCCACTGACAAAGCATCGGTTCAGGGCCAGCTGTGCCCCAGCGGTCTCTCCACCCGGACAAGAAGCTCTGCCTCACCTTTCTTCCCCTTGATCAGGTCAGGGTCGACCAACACAACGCCATCTAGACCAGGGAAAGGAGAGAACAATGAGACTAGAGAAGCCAGCTGCCCTCTGAAGGCACGAGGCATTTTTTTTTACTAGACATATTTTAATTGCACACACAATCCTGTTCATCTTGGAAAATCAGAAGATGATTAAACAAAGAGAAAATAAAGTCACCCAAGTCTCCTGTCACTCAGAGACATGCACTTCCAGGACGCTGCTGCTGGGTAGAACTGAGTCAGAACCAACCCAGAGCTGACCCTCTGCTTGGTCTTCAGAGGCGGGAGGAGACGGCTGTCCTTACCCTGCAAGACAGCCTTTGGGACGGCAGTGCAGCTCCTTACCACGCGGCCACCACACTTCTCCATTGTTAGGACAGTGCTGTCGAATGTTTTCCCCAGAAATATTTAATTCTAGAAATGTTTTATACAAAAACTACAGTCGACTACACACACGGCTTTTTATCACTCAACTATCTATTGCCAAGAATCTCTGGGTGATGTAAACACCAACCGGGCAGGTTCTAGTCTACTGAGAGGTGCCTTGGAAGAAAGGCCTGGAGATCTCCTGAAAAGCCATGAAAAATCCTCTGGCGCCCAATTCTTTTAATGTGCATAATTTGACGGATTAATTGCTTTTGCATGTGTGCAACCATTCCCACTTTTTCTAAACGTTTTCGTCAATTCCCCCCAATAAACTTGGTATCATTAAACACAACAACACAATAATAAAAAGGTAGGACTAGACTTGACCTTTAAGAACATGCTGCCAAATGGCTCTAGACAATACTTTTGACAAGAAGACTCTCATCCCCAGTACGTGCTTTCCTACTTCTTTTTATTATTATTATTTAACTTTTTATACTGCAATAATTCTAAATTTCACTAGAAGTTGCAAAGATAGTGCGGGGTGGGGGGCATGCAGCCTTCACCTCGTTTCCTTTGATGGCTGGGTTTTACGTGGTTATAACGCAGTGCCACACCGGGGAGCTGATACTGATAAAGCACGTCTGTGTGGCTTGTGCGGATCGTGTAACCACGTCACAATCAGACAGATTCAGGCGGCACCACCGAGCAGAGGGTCAGTGGGAGAAAGGAAGGCCCTCGTGGAGACTGGCATGGTGGCCTCACCACCGGGCTTACACCAGCCCAGCCGAGGCTGTGAGGACTGGACAGGAGGGGACACGGGTGGGATCTGTTGTATGTGGAGTTGCTGTGAGTCAGAATGGACCGATTTTCACCGCATCATCACCAGTTTTCGGTGTTGACATTATTTCTTTGGCTTATATCACCCTCCTAGCATGTGTGTCACGCTATCTCGCTGGGCTTTTAATTAGCCTCTGGATGTGCTTCCCTGGCATCGTGAATCTTCTTGGATGAAATGCTTCTGCATGTCTGTAGCTCAGTGGATGGCTGATTTAATTTTGCTGTTGAGCTCTGAGAATTCTTTATCTCTCTACTATGCTCTGCCAAGAAAACAAACAGATTCACCCTGGAGAGGGTTAAACCAGGCTACTCCTTGGAGGCAAGGATTCTGGGGCTTCGTCTGACATACTTTGGACATGTTGTAAGGAGGGACAGGTCCTTGGAGAGGGACATCATGCTTGGGAGGGTGGAGGGACAGCACAGGAGGGGAAGGCCCTCTATGAGGTGGATTGATTCAGTGACTGGGGTAATCGGGATGGGAGTGTCAGAGACAGTGCGATTGGCACAGGACAGAGCAGGGTTTAGGGCTCTTGTACAAAGGGTCGCTATGAGTCGCAAGTGACTTGATAGCACATAACAACAACAACACATACCACTCATTCCTTTGTCTCCCCCATACTTTAAAAACGACTTCAAATTAAATTATTGCATACCCCCCTACATTATTAATGATGCCAATTTGTAAAAAGATTAAAAAACCCTAGTAAACAATGGTCTAATGAATTAAAACAAAAAATTGGCATTAAAGTTTCCCTCCAAACGTAACCTACCCACAGGTTCCACTTGGCTGATGTGGTCGATGTAGTCTCTCTTCCCGAGGTAGATGGTCACCTGCAGGGAAAACAGAGGTGGGTTCAGAAGATCCAGGGCCACTGCTCTAGACCCTTCATGTTATGGTCAGCAACAGACAAGGCTTCGAAGCAGAGAGAAGACTTACTGGTCTGGTAATAGAAGCTAGTGGAACCCCAAAGCAAGGGCTCTTGAACACACCCAAACTCACCTGCCATGGAGATTCTGACTCAGGGACCCTAATAACCACCAAGCCTAGTGACACGAGGATTCTCCTGGGGCCAGAAGTGAGGTAGGCTGTGCCAGCAAGGTCTGAGAAGACTGATCTTAAAAATGGGGGCAGATGCTGACGACTTGGCTCCACTGTTCCATTTACTCCTCACAACTTCTCAGGAATAACCTCATGTTCTAGAGGGGGAATTGAGCCTTGGAGCCTTTCAGCAGAGAGTACAAGGGCATGGGGGAGCCCATTAGGTAGTTGGACGGGGAGGGAGGACTGAGAGGTGAACCGGAGGGGCCTTTCCTCTCTCTCTGAAGAAAATGTGACTGTAAGTAAAGGGTAGTGGGAAGGAGATTGTGGGAAGCAGGATTGGTGTCATAGTTTTGCTTGTTTGGTTTTTAAGATGCACGAGGTCAGTATGGGCAAATACTAGCAGAGCAAGAGAGGTTGCAAGCACATCTCAGGTTGGAGCGGGGGCGGTGAGACTGACGGCAAAAGACCTGGAGAAGGTCATGGACCATGAGGTCCATCCAGGTGGGAGTAGAATCGTGAACTTCAGCTGCAGACAGGGTGCCTCTGCTGATGCAACTGACTGGGAAGATTAAACTGTGTGCCCCCAAAACACTCAAGTGTCAACCCCCCAAAATCTGTGGATATGAACTGATTTGGAAATAGCACCTTGGCAGATATAATTGATGTGGTCATAGGGAGCTATTCTGGGATAGGGTGGGCCCTGAGCCAATTGGCCTGGCGTCCTCATAGCAGAGAGACACTAACGGAGATACGGATGGAGGGCGGCCTTGCAGAGATGCAGGCCGAGGCCGGAGTGAAGCTATACATGCTGAGGGATGCCTGGAGCCACCAGAAGGTGGAAGAGGGAAGACAGATGTCAGAGAGAGAAAGCCGGGCCCTGCTCACACCTTGATTTCTGACTGTCAGGCTCCAGAACTGTGTGAGAGAGGAACAGCTACTCAGACTGTGGTACCTGGCTGGAGAAAACCAGTCCAGACAGAGCAGGTGCCGGGGCCAGAGTGGGGCTGGCTTATGTGGAGGTGCAGGGTACGAGTACAGACCCCGGGGGCTGTGGAGCAGACCCTCCTGCACCAGAAGGTCAAGGGCGCACCTGGACCATCTACCACACCCCTGAGAAGACCCATCAGTTGTTTTCATTTCTGCTGAGTGGGCCAAGTGCCAGGGCATTTCAGGAGTGTCGGATTAGGGTCAAGATCAGGGGCAGGGGCAGGAGCAGCCGAAGTATGTCTGCTCTCCAGCGGCCCGGAAGGTCCAGCTGTGGTTTGAGACCATCGCTGCTGGGTCAGGTGAGCAGACGTTAGGTATCCCACCGATGCAACAGCTGTGGTTTTCCCGGGTGGGGGAGATGATTACACAAAGGGTCAATGAGTCGTCAGTCTAGACAAAGTGACTCAAAGTGGGCCAAGGCCAGCTAGGACAAGAAGTGAAGTTGGGGTGGAGAGTAGGGACTGAGAAACTGGAGAGAAATGAAGAATCTTGGGACTAACGCCCAGTCATTGAGTCCACCCCCCTTTACCGTCCACTTCAGACGGGGATGGACGGCAGGGACTGTACTTCCTCTGATGTGCGGGGTTTCGGTGTTGATCACGTCTACTGCCATCATTCTTTAACTTTTTATAATGAGTTGGGTGAAGTATACAGGGTGGATCTGTTCTCCATTCAACAAGCCACACACGTTTTGGGTGGAAGTTTACAGAGCAAGCTGGCTTTCCACTCAGCGCACCTTGTGCTTTGAGGCTGGTACCAGCCATCCACCCACGACCACCCTGTGCTGCCTGCTCCCATTCCTCCTCCTTCCCGAGCCCTCTCTGCTTTCTGAACGTGACCTTTGGCACTTGCTGCTCTTGTGGTCTCGAATGGTTGATTGTTGTAAGGAGTGTGTACCTCCCTACGGTGCTTGCTCACCTTGTGGACCTGTCTATCTACTGTCTAGCTAAAACCTGAGCCATGCAGGTGAATTCAGCTGCAGGCTAGAAGCGTGAGGGGGTCAGGGATCTGGGGGTTGGGGGTGATCATGTCTTCCCTTGAAGAGGCTCCACGCATTGTATTTCCTTCCAGACACTCGCTTCCAGGAAGTCATTCACTCCGGTGCCACTCACCGACTTGTCCCGGGAGACCTTCTTGAAGATGACGTGGCTTTGGGCAGACTTGCCTGTCTTCCCACTGGCCGCCATGCTTTCTGTCTCTGGAAGCTTCCTTCCCTGTGGGATGCACACAGAGTCAGAGTGCTGGGGAGAGGCAGAGACCCTAAATCCAAAGGCTAGAAGATTCTGGTTACAACACCCAATCATGACCTGCTCTGGGTCCCTGGAGCTTTTCCTTCTGTCTGCCTCACTCCACGGCTGACTCCTCGAGGCCTTTGCATTTGACCGTGTGGAGCTTCGAAAGACACATCTGCTGGTTTTTGTGCTAAGCCTGAAGCATGTTTCATAGTCAGCCTGGTCAGGAAGCCCCGCGAGGGTTGGGTGAGGCTTTACTTTCAGACCAACCTTCGAGACATGCACTATTTCTCCTTGGTTGTGGGCGAGTGGCCTCTAACTCATAAAACTCCTTGTGCAACAGGATAATATGCACCCCATCCTGTGCTCCCCCCTTCCCGACCGTGGGGGGTTCAATCACAGTGGCCCAGAGGGATTTCACCAGCTGATTTCTGGAAAGAGACCACCGGACCATTCTGCCTAATCTTCCTTAGTATAGAAGCTCCGTGGAAACCCCACAGCACAGCAACACGCAGGCCTCAATGGACAGAGGTTAGGTGTACGCACATGAGGTGCACTTGAGGGGAATTGAACCCAGGTCTCCCAAGTGGAGGGAAGCATTCTACCACTGAACTGCTGTTTCGAACAGCTTCACACCTGCCCAGGCTGAGTTTCAAGTTCTATTGGCACTGAGACAATAATGCCTTAATGGCAATGAAATAGAAAGTGTCCAGAAAACCAACAACACAAACACTTTGAAATACACGACGTCCCGCACGCTCTGCTCCACATTCTCACTGAGCAAGGCTTTTCTCATCTAGCTCTTTTCCACCGCTCCTCCGACCCACAGCCTTTGACAGGTGGGCTGTCTCCTCTGTCTGGAATGAAATGCATCCAGAGCTTCCTTAACTAGCAAAGTCAGGTCCACAGAAAAGGCAACACTGGAACACATGGCATGAAGGAGCCCATTAGACTGTCCACTCACTTTTTTAAAAATGAAGTCCTCTGTTTATTGCTTTTTTAAAAATTTTCAGTCCACTGTTTTACATCAAGGTTTATGCTTTGTGCTGTACAGTTCTGTGGGTCTAGGCAAACACGTGATGCCACGTGGCCACCACTGCAGTGTCCCGCCCTGAGAATGTCCAAAGTGCCACCCTCTTCACTCCCTCTACATGGATCCAGACTCTTGGAAACCACTCATCTTGTTGGCATCATCTACTTGCTAAAAAACTTGGAGGGAAGTATGAAACACTAAGTATATTAATTCTGTATGCAAATCAATACAAAACAAATATTAAAAAAATAGTTAAAAACCCAACCACCAAACAAAAACCTCGTTGCTGTTCAGTCAGAACTGACTCCAGCGGACCCTCCACTGGGTGATTCTGAGGCTGTGAACCATGCGGGAGAAGACTACCCATCTTCTCACAGGGCGGTTGGTGGATTTGAACCACCAGTGACACAACTCGCTGGGACAGACCGGGCCTCAGAGCGTGTGTTCACGTCAAGTCAGAACCAACCTATAGCTAACCCTCCGTGGGTTTTCAGAGGCACTAAATAGCATGGGGAGCAGGGAGAGACGGCCCCTGAGGGGGAGACGGCCCCTGAGGGGGAGACGGCCCCTGAGGGGGAGACGGCCCCTGAGGGGGAGACGGCCCCTGAGGGAGATACGGCCCGAGGGGGAGACGGCCCCTCATAGTTTTGTCTTTTCCAGATCATTACAACCACAAGCTACATACTCTTCAGACTGACTGATGTCACACGAGGTACAGAGGGTCAGGGACGAGGTGGAAGACCCCCCAGGTAGACAGACACACACCGTGGCTGCAGCTATGGGCCTGCACACCACAGCGACATAATTATGACAATGGTGCAGACCAGGCAGGGTTTTGTTCTCTTGTACACGGGGTCTCGATGAGTTGACCCCAATTTGTCAGCACCTAACAATAACATCAGCACCTGAGCCCCCTCCATGCTGTTCCTTATTCCACCGCGTGGCTGCACGACAATGTACCCATTCTCCATCGAAGGACCACTGGCTGAACCAGGCACGGCTGAGCTATCCGTGACTGAGGACGGCTCTGAGCGGAACTCTGCCCGTGTTCTCAGAGGCCAATTTAAGGAGTGCCAGGCCTTTCTCCCGAGGTCCCTCTGGGTGAACTTGAACTTTCAGCCTTTCAGTGAGCAGCTGGATGCCTTAGTTGTCAGCCCCCCTCCCAGGGTCCCCTATTGGGGTGCCTCTTGATTTCCCTGAACCTCCGTGCTGGTTTCTGAGATGCCTCTGCTGACTGCCACATACCTGTGAGTTCTGAGCGTTGCTGATGGGTCCAGGCTAGGAGGAGAGGTCTCTGGGGCTCGAAGGACACGTGGCCAGCAGCTGCCTCTGTCTAAGTTGGGGCTGTCTAATGGGTACCCCAGCTCGTCCGATGTGGGGGGATTTGTACTGGGTCTGAGCAGAAGCCAGACGTCCAGTTCTCAGTGTCCAGAAAGCAAATCCCATTTAGGGAACAGGATGGGATTGGATTAGCTTGAGGTGGGTGGACTGGCTGAGTCAGCAGTTCCGGGCATTAAGCAGGGGTCCCATGTCTCCTTTCTGGTTGGCGTAGACGCACGAGCCACCACTTAGCCTGGGAAGGCTGGTGGGCGGGACAGCAGCTGAACGAAAGCTTCTTTGGGGACTAAACCTCTTTGGGTTCTGGAAATAGAGTGATTAGCTTCTCTCTGCGTCTCACCAGGACCAGGGATTTTTCCAGTGCTCAATGCACTTGACTAAACTCATTAGCAGGCAGCTAATTCGACCTTGAAGCTGGGAGTGTAAACAAAAAGGTCAAGAAGAAGGTCCAGACAAGCCCTGACCATGTGCATCTGTGGCTGGGAGGTCCCTCTCCCCACCCCTTCGCCCTTAGGAGTCCCTTGATTTCCCCGGACTCAGTCTGTGTCTTCCCACCTGCACCACACCCTTCACCCCCTTTCTCTTTTTTGTTAGGAGATGGGGGTGGAGAAGGTAATATTTTTCATCTTTTCTCTGCACCATTCCAATTTTATGACCCTATGCTTACATTTGGAAGCAGGAGTGGCATCCACTTCCTAAGCTACATGCTTTTGGAAACTATGAACTTTAATAAAAGCCAAAAGTCAATAGAGGGGCTTCAGGCCTTTTGTTCATAGGGTCGCTGTGAGTTGTGCTCGACTTGAAGGCAATCAACAACAACAAAAGGAGCTGTGCTGTCCACTGGAGGCATGAGGCTCAAGTCCACCAGCTGCTGGGTGTGAGAAGGATGGGCAGTCTCTGGGATTTACAGCTTCAGAAAATTCGCTGGAGGGTCAGCTATGAGTCTGTTCTGACACGAGGGTACATAACAACAACAAATTTGCATTAAGGAGCTCTGGTTACTTTCCATGTTGGCCTGTTAACTGAAAGGTCCATGGTTCAAATCCACTAGTTGCTCCAAGGGAGAAAGTCAGGCAGGCTCCTCCTCTCAAGAGTCACAGCCCGGGAAGCCGGATGGACGGCTGGGTGTCAAGAGTCGGAGGTGAACTGAAGGTGCTGTATGTGCATTAGAGGGACTTCTGGTGACTAAGTTCTTGGTTGCTAATGTAAAGGTTGGCTGTTCAAACCCATCTGCGGGTTTCCATAAAGCTTATTTGGGGCCTTCTGGGGCAGTTCTGGCCTGTCCTGCAGGCCACTGTGGTCAGAATCAACTTCACAGCAGTGGCTTCGGATTGTCTGAATGCTTCAAACACACGCATTGGGCAAGTCTGTTGGAAAGTCCTCTGAGTATTCAAAAGCAAAGATGGCGTTTTAAGGACGAAAATGCAATTGCTCCTTCTGAAACGTCAGCCTGAAAACCCTGCGGAACGTGGGTCCCCACTGCACACACGTGACCCTGAGCTGGAACCGATGGTAGCAGCTCCAGCGCACAGGCGCCCACATCCTCACCACGACGTTTCACCCTGACGTTCTGGGGAGGATGAGCGTCTTTCATGTTTCCCTTCTGAGTCATTGACAGGAAGCTGCAGATTTGACATTTTTAACCATAAATGGACTCTCTGCATAGGGCAAATGGTTAGCAGCAGAACCTGATTTGGCTGGTAACCAAAAGGTTGGCGGTTCAAGTTTACCCGGAGGCACCTCGAAAGAAAGTCCTGGTGGTCTGTTTCTGAAAAGTCAGCCATGAAAACCCTGAGGCCAGTTCTGTTCTCACACACACGGGGTTGCCAGGGATTCAGTCCAATTTAGCAGCAACTGGTACCGGCTCTTACCCACAAACAGGAAAGCAGCCCCCAAGCCCGAGGACAAGCATATCTGTCTTCTATAAAGATGAAATTAGACGCAAGCTTGTCTTTCAAAAACAGAAATCCTTATTTTGCAAAAATAGAGTTGCAAACTTTGCCCTGTTTCTTTTTATTGTTTTTAATTGACTCCCCCCTTTTTACTGTGGTTTGGCTGGAAGTTTACAGATCAAATGAGTTTTCCATTCAACAACTCATACACATTTAGTTCCATGATTTGGCTGGAATGTCCACAAAGAGCAGCACTCTCCCTACTTCCCACGGGGCTCCCCATTTCATCCTCCTCTCCTGCCCTTCCTGCCTCTCAGCTTGGTTTTTATCCATACAACGCAGCTCCTTTGTTCTCATGGAATTGATGGTTCGATTCCCCACGGGGGTCATTCTTCACTTTCTGTGTTGTTAGGAGCCATGGCCTTCTGTTATGCATCTCAAATTCGGACAATGAGTAAGGTCGGCAGAACAATCAACGGCTTTGGATTATGATGCTGGAGAAAAGGACCATGTATTATGACAGAGTGTCCAACGAACACACACATCTGTCTGGGAGGAAGTGTGCCTGGGATGTTTTCTAGGGGCAAGGATGGCAGGGTCTGGTCTCACAGACTTTGGGCAAGCTGTCAGAAGGGACAGCCCTTGGAAAGACGTCACACTGGGGAAGGTGGCAGGTCGGAGAGAAGCAGGAA